GTAGAAAAATTACTCAAGAGCCGCACGTATTTTGCGTCGCACGTACATTGACCCCTATCAGCTGATGTTAGATATTTGAAATTCCACTGCTGGTTTTATGTTTAAGTATTTTCATGATTTTTTTATGAAACTATTGTTTCATTTAGCTGTACTAACATGATGAAGCGTGTATTAAGCTAATTAAACATTGTGAAAATGTTGTTTTTTTTCACTGGAATCGTTTTTATTTTCGTCCCATCATCAAAGGTTTCTTTAGTACTATCGTTTGTCTTCATTTTCGGGAGCCTTTCAATAATAACCTGTATAAAGAGACCCTTTTTTTATTAATTATTAGATAATAAGTCTTATCCTTTAATAGACAGTATTTTTACAGCACTCTTTTAATCAGGTAAGTATCTAACTAATTAGTTTTCTTTGTTTAATTAAAATACAAAAAAATAGTCTTACTCAGGTAAGTAACGAACTACGGCCATTTCAATTTAAAAATAGTGTTTTCTGAACTAGCTTCATCATATGACGAAACAATGACGTTTTAATCGTGGCTCAATGATAATATTCTTCTGTTTGCTGATAACAACTTTCTCAAAACCCTGATCCTTGTAATTTTTTTATAAAAGACTGGTTGGGCAAAAATTGGATTTTATAGCAGTTATAAAAGATGCGGGTGTATACATTGGGCCGTTTGTTAAATTGCATATATAATCTGCATTTCAATTAATAAGTGAACTGCATCACCTTCAAAAAACTTAAGTTCTGTTTTGTTTTTGTCATTTTCTTTAACTTATCTTCTTCTTCATGTCTGCCGTAATTTTCTTTTGATAAGTTTTTCAGCTATAGCAGATATCGTTGATACTGTTTTGGGCTGTAGCTGAATGGAAAAAATTGATTATTTTTCTCTAGAACTACTTTTTTCTGTGTTTGGTATGTAATCTCGATCTTTATCCAAATTGTCGCAATGGCTACTCAAAGCTATCGATTAACAGTTTTGTATGTCTAAAATTTCATTCATTTCAATAATCTAATAAATAAGTAAATTAAATCTACAATCATGTAATGGTATCGAAAGAATATTTTCATACTTGTCTATCCCATTTTATACCATGGACGGCAACAGAAGAGGACTGAATAATACAAAAGCTTGCGTAAATTTTTCAACAGATTTTCACATTACTGAATAATATAATTAAACATTACATATTATAAATAGCAATATCCACATAAAGCAAATTAAATCTATGTTGTAAATATATTAATTTAAAAATTGTTCACACCATTTTGGAATTTTAATTATTGCATAACGTATGATTTGAAAATTTCACACCATTCTTGCACAGTATAGTATCCGTGTCTTTGTTGATCACCTGAGAGGGGACGTTATTGAAATTGCCTCTGTACGAGTATTGCAGTTGTTCATAAGCGGCAGCAATCACTTACCAATAGGTGAGCCGCATGTTCGTTTGTCCGTATTTCAATTAAAAACTCACATTTCACATACTGGTTATAGTCATCAACTTCATTATTGCTATGACATTGGCAACGTGCTCACTAACCTGCCTGAACAAATTAAAATAAATAAACAAAAAAGAGAAGTTACGGTACGTCCGAACATGTTAACATATTCGAAAACTGCATAACGAGACCTTTGCACACATATTGTACAACCAAACGGAATAAAATTAGGAATTACAGAAACATTTCAATCCCGCTTTCTGAAAAATTACCCAGCCACCGTATTGTGAATATTTCTTCTTATTTATTTGATATATTTTTCATCTTAGAATATGTCGAAGTCTATGCGATATGCATCGCACGATATTGTTTTATAAAGTTAGCTTTGAAATATGTTACGAGAAATGGGTGACACCTGTGTCTCGGATACCAATAGATTTCGTTTATATTTATTTTCTACTATAGAATAATAAATATTGCTTACATTCTATATTCTTTAATGTTTTATATATAGTGACGATTAATGAAGTAGAAAAAAAAAGAATATAATAATTTTTATTCAATATAGATTACAAAAATATTGAGAGTCAGTTTTTAATTTTACCACTGATTCGGAAAATAACTTCTATCTTAGGAAGAATCAGTGAAAAACCGAGTAGGACTTTTTTAAAATCAAATTTATTTTTGTAATATATTATTTTATACAATTGGTATGAAGACATTAGAAACAACATGGTAGTGATCACGATCACCCAAACGTTATTATTAATCATGTTCTCTTTAGTACCCTTACTAAAATTTTTTGCTTATTTAATATTTTGAAACTTTTGGAAGATAAGGCCTGCATTTTTTCTAGGACTTGGTTGTAAAAGAACAAACATTGCACCATAAAGAAATTACTGACTCTTTGGAGTGAAGTATCTGGTACAACTAATTTGTTCTTGTTTCTATCATTTACGGAAACTACATCACTATTTTTAATAAGACTAATTTTTTTTAAGTACCTAAATTAGAGTTTCGTATATATATTGAGATGCCAAAGTTACTATGTTTGTATCCTTAATTTTTTCTCAAAAGAATTCTTTTGGTACTAGGTTATAAATTGCTCGTAGTCTTCTGCAAAACAAAGTTGGTTCCAATGTTAGTCGCATTACCACATAGCAAGATCGCATATGACGTTATGCTATGGAAATTACTAAACGTATTTAGCTGTTTCCACACATCACTTATTTAATGCGACACCTTCGTTTATGAAGTCATGAAGTTTTACGAATTTATAAAAAAATCCTTTACATGTTTTGATGCAATAAGGACAAAAAAAAATTTAACGTTAGACCGCTAGGTCGCGAGAAGTGTCATAATTTATATATATAATATATATATATATATATATATATATATATATATATATATATATATATATATATATTTTTATTATGTATGTGTAGCATGTAGATTTTTGAATTGAATGTGATCATGACAACTTTACTGCCCATAACTCACTCTCTGTTCTACCCAAGGTTAACTGGTAGAGAATGCCATATAGCATTAAGCTCGCCTTTTGTACAAAGTCTTTGGTGCAATAAAGAATAAAATAAATAAATAAATAAATAAATGCACGTTATATTGCTAGGCATAATAATGTTCGTTTCAAAAACGTCCTCTCTCAGTTAATCAATAATGACACGAATGCCATACTGTGCAAGAATGGTGGGCAATTTGAAATTCATACGTTATGCAATAACGTATGAATTCCGAATTGCGAAATTCCAAATTGGAGTTTGAGAAAGTTGTTATCATCAAACAGAAGAATATTATCATAGAGCCAAGATTAAAACGTCATTGTTTCGTTATAAAATGGAGTTATATATTGATATAGTAAAAAAATACTATTTTTAAATTGAAACCTGATTAAAAGGGTGCAGTAAAATACTGTATACTAAAGGATAAGACTTATTATTTAATTACTGCTTAAAAGGGTTGTTCTTATATATATATATATATATATAAGGTGGGTGTTTGGTCCGGGGCATGCTTGTATCACAGTTGTGTGTCATAGCATCCCGAAACAAAGTTGCCTCCGTTTCAACCTCTACAGGCCCATTTGGTATGGACAGCCACGATTGGACAATAGAGACTTCAATGACATCATCTCTATTCATACCTCTCAATACCCATCTTTTAATTAACGACGAGATATGCCTTCTGACCGGAAGACTAACGCTCGGAGTCTCTGGAGAAGTGGAGACATCGAATTGAATATAACCATGGTCTGACAACCCCAGACACTATCTTTAGCATTAAGGTCTCCCATAACAGTACTGGGCGAGGTAGATTTTGCCCAATAAGAGCCCCCAGCTCTCTCAAGAACGTCTCAAATTCAGCTAGGCATCTGTTTGGAGAGAAGTACACCCCGATGAGAATTATTTCCCTCCACTGAATTGCCGCATATCTCTTACCACTGACGGCGGTTGACGGCTGCAGGCGTCCCTCCTTTCACCAACTTTTGTGAAAGGAGGGACGCCTGCAGCTGTCAACGCTATGATGGCTACTAAGCCATCGATGTCACCTACCCAGTTGTTCCTGGAAGCAACGATGTATGGCTCACCGACGACCGCTACCTCAATCATCCACTGTGTCATGCTCTGCAAAAGCAAATCCTGTGCGCCGGCACAGTGGTTGATTTTGGTCTGAAGAAGACGATAATGGCAATTATTAGTGATAGTGTTAGTGGACTGCTATCACTTCCACTTGAGGTTGCATACTTGTGGTCCTTTAACCCACTATAACGGCCTTTCTTTTTTCTTTTAGAGGCGAGCACCTCTTGCTCCCCAGTATGTGTTCAGCCGGCTTGTTCGCAACAACACACAGTTAATATTTTGGCATTGCCATGCACTTCGCTGACTTGTGGCTAGTCTGGCCACATCGATATCAGTTGTTGCTACGGTCCACCTCGGAAGTGCACTGGGTGCACACATGTCCACTATGCAGACACTTGTCTACCTCCGTCAACTTTTTTGGCTGCAGGTACTGGGCTGCTCATCTAGATGGAGCCAGAGCCAGAGCTTGTCTGCAGATTTCGCCTACTTTCACTATTTCTGCAGAACATTCACCAAGCTGTGCAATGGCAGCGGCAACTTCCTCTGTGTTGATATAGTCATCCAGGCTAGAGATATGGCATAGAGGCTAGATACTCTAGCCATCTCCTCAGGCAACGACTCCTTTAATATCCTAGCCAGGGAGTCAGCTTCATCGCCACTCGTTGATTTTGGTATCTTCAAAATACGATCTTCAGTGGCCGCCTGTCAGTACCACAGAGATTCTATACCAAGGTTAGTAAGTTCAATCTTCTTTCTAGCCTCTGTCAGCACCTTTGCATATGTGAGACCACGAATTTCAGCCCTGGGCTATAGTGTTATAACTACAGCCGCGGATTTTGGAGGGCGCAGTTTTACAGATGCTGGCCTCTTGGAAGTATTGACGGGGCCTGCCACGCGCTTACTACCACTTCTTACTACTGTTGTCCAGCCCTCTTCTGTGGACTGAGGAGGTTAAGGGCGAGATTCTGTTAGCTGGTTAGTTGCCATTTCTTTGGTTCTCTCTTTGAGTCCCTTTCCCTTTCTGTTTCCCGTTTGTATTTCCGTCGCAGCAATTTCCTTGTTGCCCGTTCTTGTTTTTACAGCATTATTGTTACCTTTCGTATTTGTATCATACTTCCGTCGTAGTATGTCTGCATAAGTCATTACAATTCTGCGCTCATCATCAGCCAGCGGAGGGCAGACACGTTTTTGTGGGAGAAGCCGCTCCTCAAGCGCCACCAATCGCGCATTCATTATGTTATCAACCTTGCGCATAATGGAACTTATCAATTCCTCACTTTTATTGCGTGCTCGCACACGAGGGGTTGGTGGAGCAGGTGTTTTGCTGACCTCAGCCATTTTAAGCCGGAATTTAGTTAGCTCTTTACGCAGCTTCTCTATTTCACTGCGCAGGTAAGTATTCTCAGCCTACAATTTCGCCATTTCATCATTCACTGATCTCTTATGTAGGACATCTACGACTGATTCTATTAACGTGGTTGCATCCTTTAAGGCACGTTGAAACGGGTCTTTCATGTTTCTCGACTTGGCCGCCACCGTCAGTATGACTTCGATATCGTCGAGAACCTGTTGATTGAGAGGCATTGCCGAATGGTTGTGATCTCCGACTGAAGTAGGTAGCCCCAGGGCTGTCCGTTTCTGATTGGTAGCGCAAGCCATTTGTTCCACTTGCCTCTCAGCTAAAAGAGCTTCCTCAGGCCCTAGCACTACAAACTTTTCGGATTCATCCATAACGATGTCACCTCTTTTCTTGTCTCAGAATTCGTCTCTTTTAAAAAGCTGCAGTGTCGCTGGACGACAGTGATTTCATTAAACATCTCTTTTTTATTTCACGGGAGTAGCCTCCAGACTTAGAAGCCGTCCTCAATAAATCGCCACGTAGACTTGCATCTGATTCAGATACAGCCTGCTTTTCTACCTCTACTGTTTTAAAATATTTTGATTTTTCCATTTTTATCCCACGAGCGTCGAAGAAATAAAAGTCCATGCGAGCAGCGCCTTCTTTTTCTGGATAAACCTATGCGTAATCCATCCAAGGTGTAGGCCGGTACCCTGACGAGGGGCATCGCTCTTCATCATCATCATCATCATCATTACAGCCCTTCACAAGTCCACTGCTGAACATAGGCCTCCCCCAAGTAATGCCACAAAGCACGGTCCTGAGCCACCTGCATCCATCGACTTCCTGCATGTCTTACCAGGTCGTCACTCCATCTAGTGGGGGGTCGCCCTACACTACGCCTACCGGTACGACGTTGCCACTCGAGAACCTTTCTTCCCCATCGGTTATCGGTTCTTCGAGCCATATGGCCGGCCCATTGCCACTTCAGCTTACTAATCCGTTGGGCTATGTCGGTCACTCTGGTTTTACTGTGGATATCCTCATTTCTGAGTCTATCACGCAGTGAAACTCCGAGCATAGCCCTCTCCATAGCTCGCTGAGCGACCTTGAGCGTCCTCATACGGCCAGCGGTGAAGGACCATGTCTCAGATCCGTAAGTCATCACTGGCAACACGCAATGGTTATATATACACTTTAGTTTTCAGAGATTGAGGTATACCTAACGAGAAGATGTGTCGTAATTTCCCGAACGTTGCCCAGCCGAGTTGACCTCTCGGTCGAAGTTGGACTTACCTAGTCGGACTATTTGTCCCAGGTAAATGTTGACGAGTAACAACTTCGAGCATAGTGCTCCCAACAACTACCGGCATAGGTGTGACATGGAGATTGAACATGATCTTTGTTTTGTCTATGTTTATCTTAAGACCTATCCGTTGGGAGACACCATTGAGGTCATTGAGCATAGTGCTAAGGTCCTCCAGCGATTCTGCCATAAGGACTATATCGTCGGCAAATCGAAGGTGAGTGATGTACTCGCCATTGATGTTAATACGGTATCCTTTCCAGTCCAGTAGCTTGAAAACGTCTTCCAAAGCAGCGGTGAAGAGTTTCGGGTAATAACATCACCCTGTCTTACACCTCTCTGCAGTTGGATAGGTTTAGTACTCTGGTTCTGTACTCGGATAGCTATCGTAGCCCTACTGTACAAACACTTCAGCACTTCAATATACCGACAGTCAACTAGGCACCGCTGAAGAGACTGTAGCACCGCCCAAATTTCGACGGAATCAAAGGCTTTCTCATAGTCCACATACGCCAGGCAAAGTGGCAGATTGTACTCTTCGGATTTCTGTACAATTTGCCGAAGGGTATATATGTGGTCTATGGTACTGAAGCCTTTTCGGAAATCGACTTGTTCGGGAGGCTGGAAGTCGTCGAGTCTGCGTGCGAGACGATTCGTAATGACTCTTGAAAACAGCACGTAGACGCGGCTCAGAAGGGAAATCGGTCTGTAGTTCTTCAAGAGAGCATTGTTGCCTTTCTTAAAGAACAAGACCACCGCGCTTCTGCTCCACGCCTCCGGAGTAGTGCCACCATGGAGGACGTAATTGAAGAGCTTCTGAAGGACTTCAAGTACCAGTGTTCCACCCGCTTTCAGAAGCTCCGCTGTAATTTCATCCTCGACCGGGGTCTTGCCGCTTTTAAGGTGGTGGAGAGCCATTCTAATCTCGTTCAGACTGACATCCGGGATATCATCGGAATAGTGTCGGATAAGACTTGCTCTTGGATCGTTACTCACACTTGCGTGTGGCTCCAACGATGATTTGTACAGCTGCCCATAGAACCTCTCAATCTCACTCAGAATCTCAGGTGTCCCGGAAACGACGTTGTCACACTCAGTCTTTAGCCTTGACAGTTGGCTCTTTCTGGCAGACAGATCTCTGGCAAAGACTTTGGAGCCCTGGTTCCGCTCGATCGCTTCTTTAATACGAGCAGTATTAAAGTTGCGTAAGTCTCGCCGCATGCCGCATTTGTAGATCTGTCTGTTCAGTTGCCTGTATGCTGTCAAATCTGTTGACGATTGCAGACTCATATCCCGTCTAACAGCCATAAGATTAAGAGTGTGATCGGAGAGTTTTTGTGTTCTTCTGCGGCGGGTCTTGCAGAACTTAGCTCCGACCGCATGGACAGTTTCCACGAGCTTGTCATTCATATCGTCCACTGCATTGCAATCCTCTAGGCACTGAAAGCGGTTTTGTAACTCGAGCTGAAAGGTTTCGGGATTCTGGATTAGAGCACGAGGGGGACAGAGCGTTGACTTCATAAGACGAGACGTCTCCAACTTAACATTTAGGTTCAGTGTGCCTCTAACCATTCGGTGATCGCTGCCAATTTTCACCCTTGCGATCACTGAGACATCACTGAAAAGTTGGCGTCTGGTAGTCATAATGAAGTCAATCTCATTTTTGTCGAACCGTCGGGGCTCGACCAGGTCCACTTCCTGTGGGGCCGCTTCTGGAAGAAAGAGTTCATCATAAAGAGTCCCTCTTTCTCCATAAAGTCGGCCAGCTGCTGGCCCCTTCGGTTCCGTTGCCCTACTCCAAATTTCCCCACCTTCAGCTCACCGCATTCTCTTGTGCCTAGTTTTGCGTTGAAGTCTCCCATCAACACCGTGTAGTGGGTTTTGGAGGAATGCATGGCTTTAGAAATATCCTCATACATTTCCTCCACCTCCTCATCGGGATGTGCCGAGGTTGGTGCGTAAACCTGTATGACCTTCAGCGAATACCGTTTGGTGATTCTGAGTATCGGGTACGCGACCCTCGTCGACACACTCCCAATCTTCACAACGTTGTTGACGAGAGACTTGTGGAGGATAAATTCGACACCTCCATGGGACAGATGGTCTCCCTCCCGGTGGTAGAACAAGTTGCCGGACTCGAGGATTGCCGTATCCTCCCCCCTCTCTTCGGACCTCGGATAATCCAATAATATGCCAGCGCAACTTGTCTCTTCCTCCGGCTCCTCTTCTTCCGGCTCCGGTATCTTCTCGTCAGTCCTCAGAGTGCGTGCGTTATATGTTGCCAGGTCGAGTCGTCGTAGGTGGCAACCGAACCTCCAACGGAGATTCTTAGCACCTCCTGCCCCGCCGTTACCATGGTCGCCACCGTAGCCAGGAATAGCGGGGCCGCCGGGGACTGGGGGCCGTTTTTTTGCGTCGTTATTCATGGGGGGATATTTGCCATAGTTGCCATGCTTGGCGAGCGGGTTGGCAACCGCAGTTTTTTATTATAACACAGTTGTTATCAGGATGATGCTGCTGCCCATCTCCTGCCTGTCTCCCTCTGTCGCCTCTTACGACACCCACGGGAAGATATGGGGTAGTGGATATTCTCAACCGCCACTACACGGCTTACCTTAACCTACCCTAACCTTACCTAACCATGTTAATTACTTTTAAGATAATAACTTAATAATCTACCGTATCTGAAATTGATAAGTGTAAAAAAATGAAGGAAGGGTTAAACGACTTTGAATTATCAAATAGCAGTAATGGGGTATTTCGTCTTTGGAAAAAAATACCTCTGACAAATCCGTTTTATGTTACTCTGCACAATAATTGACGGAATTTATTCATAAAGCCCGGTCAATGTAGTTAAATCAATAGTTTTTATCACGTTAACTACCATTGGGCTAACATTACCCGGGCATTATGAATAATGTCCTATAAATTAATATGGTTATAACACATTTTTCATGTTTTATATTGTTATTTTATGTACCTTATACTTATATTATAACTTTAGAAACCAAAATGCTTTTAAATTGAAACTTACAGAATCGTATATACATTATGTGTTATACTAACCCATTTGCAATATTCGCTGTAATGGTGAATGGATGTCATCATTTCTTTAAAAATAAGACAAAATATTCTATTTGTTTGACCACAATTATGTTTTAATAATAATATTTTAGTTTTACTTGTAGAGTTTTTTGTAATACGAATGAATTTTGTTGGATGGTAAAACACATCCGACCCTTTGTATTAGCGGCGCAATAAAAACTCCTCTAATCTGCTCCTCTTTTTGCTGAGATCAAAAAATAATATTATGGCCTATATTCTTATAATAGTAACTATAAGAAAATTGGGGCTTTTTGCGTCATAAATTTCTTAAAGTGGAAACGGGTATGTTGTCTGTGTTCAAAGTATTTCATATGAATATGTTTGATGTTTTTTTATAACCATATCTGTAAATTATGGAAATATTTTTTAATTTATAGTTTGACTTTACGCACAATAAATATTTAAAGAGAGAAACTTATAATTACATAACGATCTACGACGAGCAACCTACAGTAAATTTACAAATAAGTGGCCTCCCTAAACAATAATAACCTTCATAAATATTTTGAGAAAGAGAATTCAAAATTATGTAAATGTGCAAAAGTAAAAGAGATCAAAACCGCTTTTTAGTTTTTTGATTAATATTTTTCCATAGTATCTGGTTGACTTCCGAGCACACAGCCAACCTGATGGTAAGTGAATGCTGTGGCCCATAGAGTTGTCATTTCTGCGGACTAAGACTGAATGTAAAGTAAAAAGGGTATCCAGTTCTCTATATTCTCCATACTGCAGAATTGAGCTGATAATTTAATCTAGCTACGCTTTACTGACAAAGAATTTACGTAATCTGATGGTAAAAGCTTGCTCGCACAACAAGACTACAGTATCATTTTGGAGGAAAACGACTGTTCTTTGATTCACTTGCGATTGAAAAAAGTCCCTCTGGATTTGTCACTGGTTTTTCCTAGATAACAGGTTGTTTTCCGAACCAGTGATCAATTTTTTTATAGCATCGGGTGACAAACGAGCACAGTTAACCTG